GTAAATATGAGAGATGTAAGAAAGATCAGGAAACTATCGTTAAAAAAAAATGCATTTAACCCCTTATTTTAGTAACTAAACTATTGTATCTCCATATATAGAGTGCATTTGGAAAGTATTCAGACCCCCTGACATTTTCCACATTTTGTTACGTTACAGCCTTATTCTATAATGGATTACAGCCTTACAGCCTTATTCTATAATGGATTAAATTGTTTTTCCCCCCTCATCAATCTACACACAATACCCCATAATGTCAAAGCAAAAACAATGTTTTAGAAATTTTTGCAACAGTAGAGCAGCAACTGACAACAGTAGAGCATTGACAACAGTGACATTCCCACAGCAGCCAAACATTGCAACATGAGCATATTGAATGACGCGGGCAAGGTCCAAACATAGCTAGCGAGCATTTACAAAGAAAAGTTCATATCAGAAAATAGCAGCATAGCGTGTACAGCTACAGCAGCAGCATCAATGCAGCAAATGCATACTAACAGTAGCAGGAAGTGGCAGCCGGATGTGTGCGCAGAACCGGCCAGCTTAAATAGACCGCCAAATAAGGCAGGCGTGATTCTTACTAGCATCTAATTGGTCCAACTAAACTACTGTATCTCCATATATACAGTGCATTCGGAAAGTATTCAGACTCCTTGACTTTTTCCAAATTTTGTTACTTTACAGCCTTATTCTATAATGGATTAAATTGTTTCCCCCCCTCATCAATCTACACACACTACCCCATAATGCCAAAGCAAAAACAGTGTTTTAGAATTTTTTGCAAAAAACATACAAAACGGAAATACCACATTTATATAAGGATTCAGACCCTTTACTCAGTACTTTGTTGAAGCACCTTTGGCAGCGATTACAGCCTTGAGTCTTCTTGGGTATGACACTACAAGCTTGGCACATCTGTATTTGGGGAGTTTCTCCCATTCTTCTCTGCAGATCCTCTCAAGCTCTGTCAGGTTGGATGGGGAGCGTTGCTGCACAGCTATTTTCAGGTCTCTACAGAGATGTTCGATCGGGTTCAAGTCCGGAATTTGGCTGGGCCACTCACTTACATTCAGAGACTTGTCCTGAAGCCACTCCTGCGTTGTCTTCGCTGTGTGCTTAGGGTCATTGTCCTGTTGGAAGGTGAACCTTCGCCCCAGTCTGAGGTCCTAAGCGCTCTGGAGAAGGTTTTCATCAAGGATCTCTCTGTACTTTGCTACATTAATCTTTCCCTCGATCCTGACTAGTCTCCCAGTCCCTGCTGCTGACAAACATTTCCACAGCATGATGCTGACACCACCATGCTTCACTGTAGGGATGGTGCCAGGTTTCCTCCAGATGTGACACTTGGCATTCAGGCCAAAGAGTTCAATCTTGGTTTCATCAGACCAGATAATCTTGTTTCTCATGGTCTGAGAGTCCTTTAGGTGCCTTTTGGCAAACTCCAAGCGGGCTGTCATGTGCCTTTTACTGAGGAGTGGCTTCCGTCTGGCTACTCTACCATTAAGGCCTGATTGGTGAAGTGCTGCAGAGATGGTTGTCCTTCTGGAAGGTTCTCCCATCTCAACAGAGGAACTCTTAAGCTCTGTCAGAGTGACCATCGGGTTCTTGGTCACCTCCCTGACCAAGGCCCTTCTCCCCCGATTGCTCAGTTTGTCCGGGCGGACAGTTCTAGGTAGAGTTTTGGAGGTACCAAACTTCTCCCATTTAAGAATGATGTAGGCCACTGTGTTCTTGGGTACCTTCAATGCTGCAGAAATGTTTTGGTAACCTTCCCAAGATCTGTGCCTCGATTAGGCTTTGGCCTTGTGTTTTAGGTTATTGTCCTGCTGAAAGGTGAATTCATCTCCCAGTGTCTGGTGGAAAGCAGACTGAACCAGGTCTTCCTTTTAGGATTTTGCCTGTGCTTAGCTCCATTCCGTTTCTTTTTTATCCTGGAAAAACTCTCCAGTCCTTGCCGATTTAAAAGCATACCCATAACATGATGCAGCCACCACCATGCTTGAAAATATGAAGAGTGGTACTCAGTGACGTGTTGTGTTGGATTTGCCCAAAACATAACGCTTCTTATTCAGGACATAAAGTTAATTTCTTTGCCACATTTCTTGCAGTTTTACTTTAGTGCCTTGTTGCAAACAGGATGCATGTTTTGGAATATAATTTTATTATATTATTATTATTATTATTTTTACCCATATACCAATAGGTAAAGTGAGTTATTGAAAAACCTCCCTGGTCTTTGTAATTGAATCTGTGTTTGAAATTCACTGCTCGACTGGGGGACCTTACAGATAATTGTATGTGTGGGGTACAGAGATGAGGTAGTCATTCAGAAATCATGTTAAACCCTATTATTGCACCCAGAGTGAGTCCATACAACTTATGTGACTTGTTAAGCAGATTTTTACTCCTTGAACTTATTTAGGCTTGCCATAACAAAGAGATTGAACACTTATTGACTCAAGACATTTCAGGTTTTAATTTTTAATGAATTTGTAAACATTTCAAAAAACATTATTCCACTTTGACATTATGGGGTATTGTGTGTGTGTAGGCCAGTGACAACAAATCTCAATTTAATCAGGCTATAACACAATAAAATGTGGAAAAAGTCAAGGGGTGTGAATAATTTCTGAAGGCACTGTGCATAACCAGATACATAACCAGCAGTCTATGGTCTAGCTACCGGTATACTCACCACCACTAGGGACCAACGAACTCCAACCACCTATCCCCGCATGATAGAGTCCTTCGGCAGGGCATGCAAACCATAGTTGTTGGCTGTGCATCCTGCTGAAAGCATGCATTGCATGATCAATCCGTATAGGGCTTTTCTGTCTCAAATGGCCGTGATCCTTTGAAAGCGTTGGTTGGGGGCGATGAAACAATGGAGCACCATTCAATGAAGGGAAGCGAAGTGGGCAGAGGGGTGATTTGCAAGTGGAGCTTGGCAAAAGGGGGCATGATTTGTTGACATTGTAATCCAAACCCAACCTTTATTTACCCGTTGTGATGCACTGAGGTTCCAAACTCCATTTCAGATGAGACTATGACCAAAATTATCCTATTCAAACTTTGTAGTCAATTTTCAGAAATATTCATCAAAATATTGCACTTTTCTGCCATTGCCATAAAAGGGTCAATTTCTTAGTCCTTTGGTGTGACGCCTTTTGAATGTATAGTTGAAAATAAATGTTTTTTGAAGTATAAAAAGCAATGACAAAATGTTGTGGTGAAATCAAATGGTAGACCTATTTGTTGGAATTTTCATCATTTTATGTGGTTCTGAGTGCAATATTAACATTTTCATTCTCCCACACCCTATTACCCGCCAGCATCAGAGACCCATTGTCATTGGCTCCATTGTACGGTATACTCCAAAAACTCTCCAACAGAACACCTCTCAAGCGGCGTCTCGGCTCCCACGGCTTCGGCTGTTGGTAGGTCAGGGCCTCCCACTGGATGTGCACGGGTGCACTTCGGTCTCCTCCATTACTAGAGGAATGTGCCTTTGCACCTCGCTGCTTGGTCAGGTACACCTCAATGTTGTTGGGTTCTACCTGAGTGATTCTGCCAGTCTTGTCTCAAAGATTAAGCCATGCAAGTCTTAATACACATGGCCGGTACAGTGAAACTGCGAATGGCTCATTAAATTAGTTATGGTTCCTTTGATTGCTCCAACGTTACTTGGATGACTGCAGCAATTATAGAGCTAATACATGCCAAAAAGTGCTGACCTTCACGGATGCGTGCATTTATTCAGACCCAAAACCCATGCGGGGTACTCTCGGACACCACAGACGCTTTTGGTGACGTGCTGACATCTAATTTGAATGTCTGCCATATCAACTTTTGATGGTACTTTCTGTGCATACCATGGTGACCACGTGTAATGAGTACACTTTAAAACCTTTAATGTGGATCCATTACTGATGTTTAGAAGTTGCATTTTACAGCGGTCAGAAACTTCTGAAAGTGTCATTAATTACGTTTAAACCATCAAATTTGACTGCCTGTGTAGCTCAGTTGGTAGAGCATGGCGTTTGCAACGCCAGGGTTGTGGGTTCGATTCCTACGTGGGGCCAGTATGAAAAATTTATGCACTCACTAACTGTAAGTCGCTCTGGATAAGAGCATCTGCTAAATAACTAAAATGTATATTGTCCATCGGTGTGACATAATGTCCTATGGGGTGAGGCCAATAAATAAAATGGGAAAAAAGGTGTCTTGAACATAATGTAAAAATAATTGTAAAGCATGAGGCAGGTAACAATTGCTTTTTATCTAGGTTTTTGTCAGATTACTGTGAATCTTACTCAAAATGTAATGGGGAGACACTTGGTTATCGTCATTATACAAGGAAATTGTGTTTTTTAATTGAAATTCCAGAATATGATTACGGATTTTAAAAACAGAAGTAACTAATAATGAGTAAAAATATTTGTCTATTTGAGAATCATTAAACCTTTATATTAGCATTAATTGTGATGTCACACCAGAGGACAAATTCATGGCTCCCTGCATGAAATGAATGTTTAATTAAATTGGATTTTAAAAAATGATCGAAGGTTTCCACATTACATTTTGAATGGTTTAGACGTTGTTTATTGCAATTGTTTTTTTACTTTAATTTTAGAATAAATACTTTTTTCACTTTTGTTTTGGCCATATGACAACACCCATAGACAGATCATCAGTCATCGAAGGCAATGGTACAGATGTACATAAGATAGCCTTTTGACAATTTTACTAAGCAATTACCCTGGCTTATATGCATTGATTTGTTCCAAGGAAACCCTATTAGCATAACGATGGCCAAATCAGGTGGACATTTCAGCAATGCACACCAAAGGTTTGTCCTGTGGCACGACACCTCATTTTATCCTCCACTCAAAGTAATTGGAGTATGTCTGACACAGATTAAACCTAGTCCTAGTATAAAAATCCAACTGAATGCCAATGGCTTAATCTGTGTCTGAGAAACCTGACCTTGTTATGTCAGGCTGGAATCTCAAATCGTCACCTGATTAAGATTCCAGTCATTGTGAATCTTGCCTTGTCATGTCTCCAGGATGACCAATGGGGGGAAGTCGACCATGTCCAGTAGTCTGCACCTGCGGATCCCCAACAGCTGCATCATAGCACAGGATGCTTTCTTCAAGGTCCTCTCCCTCTTCCTTCTGTCTCCTCAATTCACCTTCTTCATGGTCCTCTCCCTCCACCTTCTGTCTCCTCAATTCATCTTCTTCATGGTCCTCTCCCTCCTTCTGTCTCCTCAATTCAACTTCTTCATGGTCCTCTCCCTCCTCCTTCTGTCTCCTCAATTCACCATCTTCATGGTCCTCTCCCTCCTTATGTCTCCTCAATTCACCTTCTTCATGGTCCTCTCCCTCCTCCTTCTGTCTCCTCAATTCACCATCTTCATGGTCCTCTCCCTCCTTATGTCTCCTCAATTCACCTTCTTCATGGTCCTCTCCCTCCTCCTTCTGTCTCCTCAATTCACCTTCTTCATGGTCCTCTCCCTCCTCCTGTCTCCTCAATTCACCTTCTTCGTGGTCCTCTCCTTCCTCCTTCTGTCTCCTCAATTCACCTTCTTCATGGTCCTCTCCTTCCTTATGTCTCCTCAATTCACCTTCTTCATTGTCCTCTCCCTCCTCCTGTCTCCTCAATTCACCTTCTTCATGGTCTTCTCTTGACTGTCAGTTTAAGGATGATAGGGAAAAAGAGGCTCAGTGTCAGTGGTCATGTCTCGCTCTTTTTCTCTCTTTCTTTCTCTCCTTTCTTTCTTTCTTTCTCTCTTTCTCCCCCTTTAGGATGACTCTGTGATAGCTTTGGACAGCAATGGGTTCAAGCAGTATGATGGTAGGGGAAGAGTTTCTTTCTATTTTATCAGTAAGAAGATACATTTCAGAAGATCGAACAAGTTTAAGCTCATTGAGTGTAAATTTACAGAGTCATTACTTATTTGTAAATGTAAACAATAATGTGACCTATTACCAAAGTTTACATTTACAAATAAGTAATGACTCAGTAAAACCTATTGTTCATTTGGAATTCAACACTTTAACTCGACTGTATGATACATTTGTAGTGCTTGATGCGCTCCACATGGACAGAATGATGAGCAAGATTGAATCATGGCGGAAGGACCCCGATTCATTCCTAGCATCTCAAAGTCTGAAAACACAATGCTCTGTAGGAGAGGAGGTGTTTGTGCTCATCGTTGAGGGCTTCTTGATCTTCAACTACGGGTAACTAAGAGAAAACAGATCTTCCCTCCTATGTGTCTCTCTCTCCTTCTCCCTCTCTCGGTATGCCCTTTGTCTGATGTCTGCATGATGAGATGAATTATTTGTCTGGCTTTGTGTTTCATGTTTTGATTGGCAGGCCCTTGAACGAATTAATGGACAAGAGATACTTCCTTGAAATTCCTTATGACATCTGCAAAGAGAGGAGAGGGTGGGGCTAATAGTTTTTTTACTCCGATATAATTGCAATGCTTGGATATAATTATGGTCTGTTCAGATAGGCCACTTGTTGGGCTGTATAACCTGTGGCTGATGAAAAGAACAAGCCTTTGGCCCACCTTTCCTGTGATTGACAGCTCGAGGGTGTATACACCCCCTGACCTGCCAGGGTACTTTGACGGATATGTGTGGCCAATGTACCTGAAAAACCGGCAAGAGATGGAAGACATGGTATTGGATATTGGTGAGTTTTTCATTTAGTAGATATAAAGATCTTTCTTTGCCAGATATGTTTATGATAGTCGTTGTAGTTGTTCCTCCTCACTCCATTGCTGTTAACATGCTATTGCTTTAGTTCATTCTATCTGATGCTACCAGATGGTCACTCATTCTTTATTTCCAGTCTTTTTGGATGGATTGGAGTCAAAGGAGGGCTTGCTGGATTATGTGTACAGGGATGTAACCATGGAAATACAGAGACTCATGGGTAAGTTTGCTCCTACAAAAAATAAAGTTACTTACCTACTCAAAATTAAACTGCTTTTTTAAAGTCTGATTTGTGATTAGACACCAGAATGATTGGGCAGAGGGGAATTGAACAAGAGGGAATGGCACGCAGTATTCGAATGGTCTAAAACCTTACATTATTTTGTTGTCTTGTTTTCACAGGGAAAGACTTAGCAGTTTGATTTCTCAAATGGTTGCTGAAATCTGGAAGAGTAAAAGAGACAATGTGTTGAGAAACAGATGTGTTGAAACTTTGACTAATGTTTACAGCCACAGGAGAAAGACAGGACACACACACACACAGTGCAGAACAGCCTTTCATGTTAAATCCATTTGACTTTTACTCCTGTGAGGTAAATGTTGTTTACATAGTTTTTTTACTTAGAAAGTATTTTTGCAATCTACAGTACATTTGTTTTGTTCAATCTATAATGGTTATGTACATAGTTAAGGAGTGCAAAGTTTATAAGCAGTGCAGACTCTTAACTAATGTTAATACTGTATCTTTCTCTGTTATACTGCAGTGTTAAAAAAATATTGTGGACACTGATGTATGTTCCTGAGTAGTGCCATGGCAGGAAATTAATTGATTAAAAGGTTGCTGAAGTGTGGTTTGGCTCTTAGCGTGCCAATAAAGTAGTAGCTCACTATTGTATTGTTACACATAATAATGTACCAGACATGGGTATAAATAATAATAATAATAATACGCCATTTAGCAGACACTTTTACCCAAAGCGACTTAGTCATGCGTGCATACATGTTTTATATATGGGTGGTCCCAGGAATCAAACCCATTATCTTGGCGTTGCAAGCGCCATGCTCTACCAACTGAGCCACAGAGGACCACCATATATATATATATATATACATATACTACTAGTCAAAAGCTTGGACACACTAACTCATTTAAAGGGTTTTTCTTTATTTTTACAATTTTTTACATTGTAGAATAATAGTGAAGACATTAAAACTATGAAATAACACATGGAATCATGTACTAACCAAAAAAGTGTTTAACAAATCGAAATATGTTTTATATTTGAGATTCTTCAAATAGCCACCCTTTGCCTTCATGACAGCTTTGCACACTCTTGGCATTCTCTCAACCAGCTTCATGAGGTAGTCACCTGGAATGCATTTTAATTAACAGGTGTGCCTTCTTAAAAGTTAATTTGTGGAATTTATTTCCTTCTCAATGCGTTTGAGCCAATCAGTTGTGTTGTGACAAGGTGGGAGGGTATACAGAAGATAGCCCTATTTGGTAAAAGACCAAGTCCATATTATGGCAAGAACAGCTCAAATTAGCAAAGAGAAACAACAGTCCATCATTACTTTAAGACATGAAGGTCAGTCAATATGGAACATTTCAAGAACTTTGAAAGTTTCTTCAAGTGCAGTCGCAAAAACCATCAAGCGCTATGATGAAACTGACTCTCATGAGGACCGCCACATGAATGGAAGACCCAGAGTTACCTCTGCTGCAGAGGATAAGTCTCAAAGTCAACAGTAAAGAGGCGACTCCGGGATGCTGACCTTCTAGGCAGAGTTGCAAAGAAAATGCCATATCTCAGACTGGCCAATAAAAATAAAAGATTAAGATGGGCAGTCTGAGATATGGCTTTTGCTTTTCAACTCTGCCTAGAAGGTCAGCATCCCGGAGTCGCCTCTTCACTGTTGACGTTGAGACACTCTAATGTATTTGTCCTCTTGCTCAGTTGTGCACCGGGGCCTCCCACTCATCTTTCTATTCTGGTTAGAGCCAGTTGGCGCTGTTCTGTGAAGGGAGTAGTACACAGCGTTGTACGAGGTCTTCAGTTTCTTGGCAATTTCTGGCATGGAATAGCCTTCATTTCTCAGAACAAGAATAGACTGACGAGTTTCTTTGTTTCTGGCCATTTTGAGCCTGTAATCAAACCCACAATTGCTGATGCTCCAGATACTCAACTAGTCTCAAGAAGGACAGTTTTATTGCTTCTTTAATCAGCACAACAGTTTTCAGCTGTGCTAACATAATTGAAAAAGGGTTTTCTAATGATGAATTAGCCTTTTAAAATGACAAACTTGGATTAGCAAACACAACGTGTCATTGGAACACAGGACTGATGGTTGCTGATAATGGGCCTCTGTATGCCTATGTAAATATTCCATAAAAAATCAGCCGTTTCCAGCTACAATAGCCATTTACAACATTAACAATGTCTACACTGTATTTCTGATCAATTTGATGTTATTTTAATGGACAAAAAATGTGCTTTTCTTTCGAAAAAACAAGGACATTTCTTAGTGACCCCAAACTTTTGAACGGTAGTGTATATACATACATACAGTATATAACACACACACACACACACACACAGTATACAGTGGGGGGAAAAGTATTTAGTCAGCCACCAATTGTGCAAGTTCTCCCACTTAAAAAGACTATGACAGACAAAATGAGATTTTTTTTCTCCAGAAAATCACATTGTAGGATTTTTAATGAATTTATTTGCAAATTATGGTGGAAAATAAGTATTTGGTCAATAACAAAAGTTTCTCAATACTTTGTTATATACCCTTTGTTGGCAATGACACAGGTCAAACGTTTTCTGTAAGTCTTCACAAGGTTTTCACACACTGTTGCTGGTATTTTGGCCCATTCCTCCATGCAGATCTCCTCTAGAGCAGTGATGTTTTGGGGCTGTCGCTGGGCAACACGGACTTTCAACTCCCTCCAAAGATTTTCTATGGGGTTGAGATCTGGAGACTGGCTAGGCCACTCCAGGACCTTGAAATGCTTCATACGAAGCCACTCCTTCGTTGCCCGGGCGGTGTGTTTGGGATCATTGTCATGCTGAAAGACCCAGCCACGTTTCATCTTCAATGCCCTTGCTGATGGAAGGAGGTTTTCACTCAAAATCTCACGATACATGGCCCCATTCATTCTTTCCTTTACACGGATCAGTCGTCCTGGTCCCTTTGCAGAAAAACAGCCCCAAAGCATGATGTTTCCACCCCCATGCTTCACAGTAGGTATGGTGTTCTTTGGATGCAACTCAGCATTCTTTGTCCTCCAAACACAACGAGTTGAGTTTTTACCAAAAAGTTATATTTTGGTTTCATCTGACCATATGACATTCTCCCAATCCTCTTCTGGATCATCCAAATGCACTCTAGCAAACTTCAGACGGGCCTGGACATGTACTGGCTTAAGCAGGGGGACACGTCTGGCACTGCAGGATTTGAGTCCCTGGCGGCGTAGTGTGTTACTGATGGTAGGCTTTGTTACTTTGGTCCCAGCTCTCTGCAGGTCATTCACTAGGTCCCCCCGTGTGGTTCTGGGATTTTTGCTCACAGTTCTTGTGATCATTTTGACCCCACGGGGTGAGATCTTGCGTGGAGCCCCAGATCGAGGGAGATTATCAGTGGTCTTGTATGTCTTCCATTTCCTAATAATTGCTCCCACAGTTGATTTCTTCAAACCAAGCTGCTTACCTATTGCAGATTCAGTCTTCCAAGCCTGGTGCAGGTCTACAATTTTGTTTCTGGTGTCCTTTGACAGCTCTTTGGTCTTGGCCATAGTGGAGTTTGGAGTGTGACTGTTTGAGGTTGTGGACAGGTGTCTTTTATACTGATATCAAGTTCAAACAGGTGCCATTAATACAGGTAACGAGTGGAGGACAGAGGAGCCTCTTAAAGAAGAAGTTACAGGTCTGTGAGAGCCAGAAATCTTGCTTGTTTGTAGGTGACCAAATACTTATTTTCCACCATAATTTGCAAATAAATTCATTAGAAATCCTACAATGTGATATTCTGGATTTTTTTTTCTCAATTTCTGTCATAGTTGACGTGTACCTATGATGAAAATTACAGGCCTCTCATCTTTTTAAGTGGGAGAACTTGCACAATTGGTGGCTGACTAAATACTTTTTTTCCCCTCTGTATAACCATGCACACCAAAAATGCACAACAGACATGAATTGCACTGTCCTATAAAATAACTAAATTAAACAACAGCTATTGTGCAATATTGCTCTATAATTTGCTGTGTGTTATCATCCAACGTATTATTGATTATGTCCAATGTCCATAGTTACATTTACAATATATATTTTGTGTTTACATTTACATTTTACATTTTAGTCAATAAGCAGACGCTCTTATCCAGAGCGACTTACAGTTAGTGAATGCATACATTTTTCATAATGGCCCCCCGTCTGTGCCAATCCTAAATTAACTATGTTGTGGTCAGCACTCCTCCTACGCAGGTAATCATTACACTGTTCAAATATGGGGGCATGCCAGTACCAAACAAACATGTCAAAGTTCAACCACTGATCAATCCCAAATGAAGGACACCCCCCGATCCTCATTATATAGACTGATTTTGGTACAAAGAGCCCATAGCTGCGATCTATAGGGGTGAGTACTGTACTGCTATCTATCTCTACACTGGGAGACTTTTACTGGTCACTGGCTCAATAGCTCTGTAATGGTTATCTCCAAACATGGTTCAATGGATTTGTCTGGTGTGAGGCCCACGAATTGATAAACTAAAGGTATTATTTACTTTGACTAGGAGTAAAAATGTGTCTGATTTCCAAAATGAATAAGAACGAGACAAATATTTTCCAGGAAACTGGAGACCACAAAAAAACATAACAGAATGAGAATACTGATGTGGGAAGATAACACAGTTTAGTTCAATGGCAAGTTTGAGATTTTTTTAAAAAAAGTGTAAATGTTACATAAAATAAAGTTATTAGACTGCCCTGCCCCCATCTCTTGGCAAAATATGTGTTATTTGATTCAATGAAGACTGCCTCCACTGGAACGTTCTAGACCCTGCCATGTTTAGTCCACCTCAGGGGTACAGAGTGATGTAATAGTGTTAATAATGTGTGGTGTCTATGTGAAGATTATGCTTCGAGAAATATTTTGATGCCATCTGTTTGGAAGTATAATTTCTCTGTGATAATTTAATTATCATGTATTTCTAAACAGTGATTTACCACCCACTGGTTATTACACCTTTGTTACACTTTTTTAGTGCATCTATGTCATATCGCTGAGTCTACCTTTAAATGTGGTGACTATTGAGTAATGCTACGTTTTTGAACATTGTGATAGTTGCCAAGATGAGGACAGCCTTGTGTTTGTGGATCGTTATGGCAGTGCTCTGCCCGGGAGAGGTCAGAGGTCATAAAGGTCACGGAGGTGACCGCCACCAGGGTCAGGGGCTTGACCAGGACCATGATCACGGGCGCGACCACGAGCACAACCACGAACACAGGCGAGACCACAACCATGGGCATCATCACCCTGAGCCCGGTGACAATGGCACCAAACCAGTGATCCAAGGTAACAGGGAGTTTGCCTTCAGCCTGTACAAGCAGCTGGTGGCTCAGCCCGACAACCAGGGCAAGAATGTGTTTTTCTCCCCACTGAGTGTGTCCCTGGCCCTGGCCGCTCTGTCCGTGGGGGCCAGGGGTCAGACCCACCAGCAGCTCTTCACTGGTCTGGGCTTCAACAGCATCTTACTGACCCAAGAACAGGTGGACCAGGCCTTCCAGACCATACTCACACAGCTCAACCAGAAGAACGGAGTGGACCTGTCCACGGGAAGTGCACTTTTTCTGCACAACACCTTCAAACCACGCCCTGAGTTCCTCGAGGACATGAAGCGCTTCTACCTCTCCGAGGGTTTCACTGTCGACTTCACCAACACGTCTGAGGCCATCGACACGATCAATACATTCGTGGGGGAAAAGACTCGAGGCAAGATAGACAAGTTAGTCAAAGATTTGGACCCAACCACTGTCATGTATCTCCTTAGCTACATATACTTCAAAGGTAAGAGGATTTTGCAAACTATAAGATAAACTAATAGTAAAAAATATAATAGAGTTCACGTGTTTGATTGATGCAGACCTCAATATGTATTTTTGTCTCTGGGTGTTGTTGGTATTACTGATGCCACTGTAATTTTTGGCGGTATCTCCTGCTGAATCTTGTCAGGTCTCCCTCAGATTATAATTTTTTTGCCTCAGATTTACCACTTTTAGTCTGGTAACTTTTACTCATCACACAACACCCTGAAATATTTTAAGATGTTCTATTTCTCAAGGAAAATGGGAGATTCCATTTGACTCTAAAGACACAAAGGAGGACACGTTCCATGTGGATGACAACACCACTGTTCCGGTCCAGATGATGAGCATGAAGAAGAGGTTCTCTGTCTACTACGACCAGGAGATCTCCACCAGTATCCTGCAGCTCCACTACAACGAGTCAGTGTCCATGATGCTGGCGCTACCAGAGAAGGGACTCGCTAGTCTGGAGGAGGTCATAGGCCAGAACCACATCACCAAGTGGCACAGGTGGATGAAGGACAGGTATGACCTGTCTTAATCAGGAAGCATCACTCTCATAGAACTAATGAACATTGGGTGGGTAAAACAACCACATATCACAATCATTGCAAGTAAAATCTTCTTCCTGTCCAATTTTGTCTTTAGGGAATACCAGGTGCATGTTCCCAAAATGTCTATCACCACAACATACTCCCTCAAGGACGTCCTGAGTGGAATGGGAATGCCGGACATATTCAGTAATAAAGCTGACTTCAGTGGAATATCAGAGGATCTGAAGGTGGCTGTCTCAGAGGTAGGGAACACTTTCACTCTCAGTGATTCATAAAGACATGAAATTGCACAATGTCTTAATGGCTGTCAATCAATTCTTCGATGAAATATTATATATTTTGGCCTCAATATTGCTGTTATTTTCAATTAGTTCACTTTTTCAGGGAGCCTCTGAAAGCTCTCTGTGGCTCCCCAGGGGTCCCAGGAGAAGCACTGCTCCATAACATACTGTATGTACGCGCTATGTGAACCATGTGAACTAGGCCTATGTACTATACATCAGACTGCATTGTGGGGTTGTTTTCAGGTGGTGCACCAAGCCTCCTTGGATGTGGATGAGGCTGGAGCGACTGCAGCAGCTGCTACAGGTGTGGTCGTCATGCCCCTCTCCTTCCGACGCACCCCTGTGTTGAAGTTCGACCATCCGTTCATGGTCATTGTCATGGACCGGGAGACCAAGAGTATTCTCTTCATGGGCAAGATCATCAACCCAGCCAACAAATAAAACCTGTGCTGTAGAAAACATGTGCTCTATAAAAGCTGTGGCCTGTAATCGCAAATTGAAGCCTAAGCGCATGCTTTATCTGTGCTGCTGTTGTTACAAAACCAGTTAACAAACGCATCCAAACTCCTCTGGCTCAATCTTGTCTGGGAAGCTAAAATTAACAAGGGTGTAAATCCTCTGTATTCACTTTGGTGGATATTTTTACAACTACTAAATGCATATCACCATTTGCTGCCAGTCTTTCTTCTTTTCTTTACTGTAATGGGGGAATGTAAGATGACTAAAGTTCATATTTAGTTAAGTGATCAACACAATGTTTAGCATATTTGGAGTTTCTGTAATACACATAATTGCTCTATTTGTGACACTCAAGCTGCAGTTGATGGTCACTAGACTTGATGCTGAATGTTATGGATTATTCTCATATCTGTTGATAGTGATTGACGCCAGAGTGGTGGTACTGAGGACCCACTGATAATTCACTGTTGTATTGTTTTGATGACATTCTGTGAGCACTGTGGGGCCATACTTGCGAACATAAGCAACCATTTAAATGTAAACACTTTCTCCGGCTCAAAATGTGTATCAGCCAATTAAAATCGTTGATTTACTTGCACGTGACAGAACGCTCAATTGTAGCTGGTCCCATCAGATAAAATGGCAAATGTTAGCCCTATGCTAACCTCACCAGGAGGCAGTGATTATATCCTGGAACAAGTTCTGCATCAGCCAATTAAAATCGTTGACATAGTTGGACGTGTTCCAACACTTGTTCATGGAAGCTTCCTTAACAGTCCAACAGCACATTCTGATCATCAAAGCAACTTTCACGTGTATTTGACTGACTGGTCAAATTGCTCACTGTGTAAAGTGCCTAGTCCATGTAATTGTCACAGATTGTGGCAAGGGTTGAATCTCACGAGTATTGTGTTAGTGTGTTGAAAAGGGACATAGCCTACAGCTTGAAGATTAATAATTAATTTAATAAGGAGCTACCTCTTTCAGCCTTGCACACAAACTGTATGTGAGGACTTGGTGGACTGTATATTATTTAGGTTAGGTTTTACTTTGTGTTCTCTCCCGTGTCCTGGTAAGGGCACAGATGACAGACAGGTAGGAGTCCAGTTGAGGTTGTTTAATAACGCTGAATATGCACAGGCATGGAACAGCACCACACAGTGAATGTAGTATGGATGGGCTAAGGCACTTAGTGGTCTGGCAACTTGCTTCAACCAAAGTGTGTGCGTGTGTGGTGTATCCCGAGTGGCACAGTGGTCTAAGGCACTGCATCTCAGTGCTAGAGGCGTCACTACAGACCCTGGTTCAATTCCAGGCTGTATCACAATCCGGCCGTGATTGGGAGTTCCATAGGGCGGCACACAATTGGCCCAGCGTTGGCCGGGGTAGGCCGTCAATGTAAATAAGAATTTGTTCTTAACTGACTTGCCTAGTTAAATAAAGGTAAAACATGAATACAAATATCATCAAGGACGTACACTGGCCTTGGCTAACACAATGAAAGCTACCTGGTGGGAAAACACAAGGATGGCTGGAGCTTTCGCTCACTTGACTTCTCTCGAGCTGATCTTCTTCTCTAAGCTGGAGATCGCCCAGCATGCTCTGCTCCACTTCACTTCACCGGTGGGCGGAGCTACAGCTCTGATATGATTAACTACAAATACTTCACAGCCTTTTGTACAGCCGCCCCTGAATTCACTATGTTAATTCACTCCTAAGAAAGGCTCAATACTTAACTCTTACTTACATATCATACCCAAACTTAGCAGACATGAGACCAGATATCTAGGGGTGTTTAGCCCCCCCATCAGCAGAGGGCCTGGCTTGGTATAACCACTAATAAAAAATAAACTCTTGTCCAGTACTTAAATGATGGAAAGGGTTCTCTGCTCTAGTGGAGTAGAGGAGCTGCAGTCCGTAACAGCCGGGCAGGAACACTTAGTCCATCAGGGGCACACTGTGGTGAGAATGTCCTCCTGGGAGAGGGGTGAATGTCACTGATGGAACGCTGCTTTGTTCCTAAAGCAGGAAACAGTCCAAACTACTAGGGTGTCAGCTGGCAGGAAACTAGGGGGAACACCTGACTGCTTAGCTAACAGGGCACCAGGGACACCTGAGTGTCTGGTGACTGGGGAGTTAAGGACAGGGGCACCTAAAGGCCTGGCAACATGGCCTAACTAATAACTAAGGGCAGGACATTGTGGCAAATAAAGGCTGGCAGACAGGTCCTACTACATGGTCCAACAGCTCTCCAGCAACTGACTATCAGAGGCTGTTGGGGCTACCGGCAGCGTATCTGTACTAGTGGAAGACTTGTCAGAGGAAACCGTCTCTGGGGCTGACACAGTCTGAGACTCGAAGGAGAGAGCACTCTGGGCTCCATTGGCAGGAGCTGGCTTGTCCCCTAGAGCAGGGCGGACAACAGGATCAGGCAGGGACCTCCAGACGAGGGGAAACTGAGTCTTAGGGTCAGGAGTCAGATCTGAGCTGATAATCGGGCTGAGCTGAGGTCTTACAGCAGGGACAGACGTGTTCTCCAGAGAAGGCAGCAGAGCTCTCCATGCAGGGTGTGACTATGGACCCTGGGCTAGAGCTGCAGAGGGTTCTCGAAGACTGGCAGATTGGGGCTCCCCGACTGAGCCAGGATGGACCTCACAGACAGGGACTAGCGGAGGTTTCAGGGCAGAGGACTGAAGGGCCCAGAAGTCAGGGTCAAGCTCTGGCCTCTCAGGAGGCTTCGCTGAAGGTCTCCAATGAGGAGCAGGCAGAGGCTCCCCCACAGGATCGGAGAGGACCTTGCTGGCGAGGACTTGATGGGACCTCAGGGTGGAGGCTGAAGCAGCCCCTGTGGAGGAAGCCATGGGGGGCTCCCACTCAAGACAAGGTTGGGGCCCCCAACGGAGCTGGGCTGGTCTCTTTGTACAGAGGTAAGTGGGAACTGCACTGCATGGGCAGCCTGTGTCTGGAAGCTAGGGCCAAGTGGAGGGCCCGTGCCTAGAGATGATCTGGGCTCCTCATCAGGAGCAGGTGGGGGCTTGTCGTTGGCTTCTGGTGAAGCCCCCCTAACTGAAACAGGGATGACTCCTAGTGTAAAGCCAGGTGGTGGCCCCTGGGCTGCAGCTGGTGCCAGAGATACTGAGACAGGGGCTGAGGATCCCTGGGCTGCGGCTGGTGGAAACCAGGGAGATGCTGGCTGATGATCTGCATCAACGGCGGTCTGTGGGCCTGTGGCTGCAACACGATGGCGCTCTGTTGCAGAAGCTGGTGACCTGAAGACAGGGCCAGGTTGTACCTACAGGTCCAGCTGGGCTGCCCGGGTAGGAGGCAGCGTGTCTACGATGATGGAAGCAGGCTGGGCCCTCTTGGGTGGAGAAGGCTACTCCTCATGCCTGGCAGACAGTGAGTCTGACTTGACAGAGGTAGGCTGAGCTCCTATAGCAGGAACAGACAGGAGACTAGCGCACTGGGTAGGCTCGGCCACATAGTCAGTTGTATACAGGAACTTGAGGGAAGAGTGGGTTAGCTTTTTTAGGGATCAGCAGTAACCATGGGGAAGGGGCAGACTGGGCCCCTTCTGTGGTAGCTGGTCTGGGCTCCAGGACAGGGGTCGGCAGAGCCCCTGTGGCCGGAGAGGGCTGTAGTAGCCGGAGCAGCTAAAGAGTCCACCTTGTTGCTTAACTTCGGCACTGTAGCAGGAGCGGGTGGCAACTCTGGAACAGCGGCTGGCTGCAGGCTAATGTTGACTGATAGGTCCTTTGTGGCCTTCGACACTTTTTTCCCTGTCCACCATCTTACCGCTGACGTCCATCTTCCCTCCCTCTCTCCCTCCACCGGGTCCCTCCCATACAGAGCGCAATGACTACAATGAATGGCTAAATTACTTCCGGACAGGAAGGGTCTGCGGAGCTCCTCCTCCTCCTCATCACTCTATAAATCACTGCCACCTGGTGAGATTAGTATAGGACTAACGTGTGCCATGTTATCCGGACCAGCTACAGTTTACAATTGACACATGCAGTAAATCGATAAGTTTAATTGGCTGATACGCATTTTGAGGAGGAAAAACTATTTAAAAACCCCTAGAGCAGTGTTACTATTTTTTGTAAAGGGGCCACTTTGGGTTGAGACAATCATTCAGAGGGCCGCACAGATCTTTAATTTGTTGTACCTTTCTTCCAATATTATCAATTATCAATTGAGAGCAAATTCAGAGCAATAGAGCACATGCACTTGATTTGATGTCCAGTACATCACAAATATATACATACACACATCAAATAGGCTACATCACATGTATAAGACCCATATTAAGGGCTACCTCAGTAGTTGGATGAGCGAAAATGTCCCTTCTGCTCCTTGACTGAATTCATTCTAAATGTATAGTCTGTTGTTGCTATCCTTGTGAGGCAATTCAGGTGTGCATTGGTCAGTCTGTTTCTCTGTTTTTGATTCACGATGTTCATTGTTGAAAATGTTGCTTCACATGAATAAGTGCTGACAACAAATTGTCACCTTTTGCACACACTGCTTCAGAAGTGAATACTCTGTGACTGACAAGGCTCCAGAAATGGGTAACACCTGATCTTAGTTCACCTTGCAATGTGTCATTTGCCTGCAGCTCCACTATCTCACACTCTATTCCAGCACGGTCAGGACAGAGGGGCTGTGATGACTGGGGTCAGAGATGACACTGGCACATGAAAGGGGTTCTCAATTAAGTTGACAAACTCTTTGTACTCCATGATATCCTTGAATCTTGACTCAAACTCCAACTTCAACTCTTCCAACACACGCACAAATGCATCATAGCTAAAATGTTGAAGTATGTCTGGGTTGGATGTGGTGACTGCTCTGAGTTTTGGGAAATGAACAAACTGTCTGTCAGGTATGAACAGTGTGATTTTATTTTGAAATCCTGTGACCACACGCAGCATTTTGCCCAGAGTTTTAGCTCACCCTTGGAGCTGGAGATTCACCGTGTTCAGGTGGCAGGTGAAGTCCGTTAAAAAGCCAGCTTTAATATCCACTGTGGCTCATCCAGCTCTGGCTCCTTTCTCCCCTTGCTTGCAACAAATTCACGGATTTGAGGGAGGAGAGAGAGAAATCTTTCCAAAACTCTGCCACGACACAGCCATCTCACCTCATTGTGAAATATCAAGTTGCCGTATTCTGTCTGGTATTCCTCCAGCAACTCGCAGAATTGCCGGTGATTCAGTGCCCTCGCATTAATAATGTTAACCATGCGCACGACTTGCTGTATCACATTCTGTAAGTCACAGTCTGAGTTTAGCCACAAGTGCATTCTGATGAATGATACAATGAAACGTAACACATTTGGGACTATCCTCTCTCTTTCTCATCAGGCCTATGAGTCCCTTCTCCTTCCCTCTGTAGCTCAATTGGTAGAGCATGGCGCTTGTAACGCCAGGGTAGTGGGTTCGATCCCCAGGACCACCCATACGTAAAAATGTATGCACACATGACTGTAAGTCGCTTTGGATAAAAGCGTCTGCTAAATGGCATATTATTATGTTTGGGGTGCCGTCAGTACACACAGATGCCAGATTCGACCAGTCAATATTATTATCAGCAAAAAAAATAACAAGGGCTTTCAGAATATCCTCTCCTCGTGTAGTTGAGGACCTGGTGGACTGTATATTCTGTAAGGTTTTACTTAGCACTATGTGTTCTCTCCCAGGTGCTTGTAAGGGCACAGATGACAGACCGGTATGATTCCAGTTGAGGTTGTTTAATGACGCTGATTCACAGAGCAGTAATGGCACAGGACAGTGTATGGTTTGACAATTGTGTTTACCAAGAGTTTGTATGTGGTTCTGAAAAAGGGGAAATTAATACAATAGTAAATGGCAGGTATAGGCTTAATACAACCTCCAATTACATAACCTATTGTAGCCATATTTATAGCTTATCTGCTGCACAAGGCAATACAACCTAACAACATGGCAGTGACTTCACTAATGAATGATAAGAGTGCAACTACACAGCACTACTAAGCAGCATCATCATCCTCACACAACGGCATGAACCTGAATGTATAATGTATCCACAAGACTCATTGCTAACAAAATACCCACATAATTTATACATTTATACTACATCCATATAACCACAGGGCATATAAGACTAGACACTGAAATGCTAAATGTCTGAAATGAGATGACAAATAACACGGTTAGCAAGCTTACAGTTGCTAGCTTGTGGTAAAAACGCTAATTAGCATAGCAAATGAGTGCGTCCACAACGTCATTTAGCAGACGATCCCATCCAGAGCGATTTACAGTTAGTGAGTGCATACATTTTTCATACACATGAATTGTAAGAAATATGAACTCAGTTAGAGATCTCCCAGCATGCTGTGCTCCACATCACCATGGGCGGAGCTACAGCTCTCCTATTAGAACTGATATTTACTCTCAATAGTCTTTCGTAAACCTCGTGTTTGTCCCTGAAGGGGCAGTAAACATAAAAGTTCCTCTCTGAACGACTCGTTGAGAGAAGCGGACCAAAAAACATTATTTGCCAATCTCACTTCATCAGTGCTTTCGTCAAGCGCAATACTAAAACACGGCGCCACGGATATGTCAGTAATCAGTTGCTTATGGATGTCCTCGCCGATTATTCTAGTATGCGTTTTGTTATGGTCGAGTCTGAGAGTTGCAGTCCCTTAATTTGCTTTAAAATTGCTTCATTGTTTGTGAAATCAGCATACAATATTTCAGCTGAGGCAAAAAACATTATTTGACAATCTCCGCGTCTGTGAAGGCCTTCTTGTTTCTCGCAAGTATCCAAGCAATCTCATTTGTTGCCTCTGTCGTTTTCTCTGCAACAGCGCTAGATCTGTCCATCATTTTGTTGTTTCTGAGGTTGCTTTATGGCAGATATGTTTTGTCGAATTGGGCACGGTGTGACTGGAAATGTCGCTCTAAATTTGCTCGTTTAAAACAATTGACTGCTTAAAACAATTGACTGCCTTCTGGCAAATAAGACAACGTGAGCTAGTCCCATCATGCAGTACAAAAAAATACTTGGTCTGTCCATTTCTCTTGGAACTTTCTGTGTTCTTCTTGAATCGACAGTATCTTTCTCTTAGACACCGGAGCCATTTTCCTGGTTCTCCGGTGGTTCTTCGTTCATAGCTGTCACGTTGTTCTCCAGCTCTTCCCCCCTCATTTTAATTGTCAATAGATTTACGTTTATTTTTGTTATTTTTATTTACAATTGATCGATCCATGTCGACCAGACTGTAGCTGAGCAGTTGCGTTCTATTTCGGCCTTTCTGTTCAACAGCTGCGCTATACTGGCATCTATCTGCCGTCCAGGGAACAATAGATATATTCAATTATGTGATTCAGGCCTGCATTATCATTGTTATGTATTATGAATGGAAAATAGGAAAATCACAGCGAGCAGCAAAGTAAGGGCTCGCGGGCCGCGCAATGACTACCACTGCCCTAGAGTCTATTGACGCACCGATCCGTCAATCTAACTAACATGATAAAAAAAATCCCCATCAAAATCCATCAGTTTAAGCTAGGGTGGAAAGTGGCAGAGCTACAGAGCTGTTTGTCAGACCAGGAGACATTCTGAAAATCGGTCTTATCATGAAAACGTCTGTAGCATCCAGTGGAGGCTGCTGAGGGGAGGACGGCTCATAATAATGACTGGAATGGAGTCATGGAATAGTATCAAACACATCAAAGACGTGGTTTCCATGTGTTTGATACCTTTCCATTGACTCCATTCCAACCGTTATTATGAGCCGTCCTCCTCTCAGCAGCCTCCACTGGTAGCATCTGAATGGTTTGGCCTAAAAAACTAACACTAAAAAAACGAACACTCTCACAAACATGTTTTGCTCTATGACCCCCACAAGTGTCACCGGACTTGTCTAAAGGTAACCCATACAAATGAATGGAAGTATGGAGGTAGTTTTGTGGCAACAAAAATAAGGGGTTAAATGTGTCAAAAAAATACTTCCCAAGCTTTCTTATATCTCCTAGATATAGGATAGACACTTCAAAACCTTATTCCTTATGATTTCATTTTGAACTGTCTTTCTTTCCATGTATGAATGTGTTATTCAATGCGTTTCTATGGGCTATAGTAGTAAAGGCCAAACTCAATAGTTTATCAAATAATTTGTTATATTTTTTGATACCTAAAGGGGTCCTAAAATTCCAAATCAAATAGCTAAATGATCCTTGGTATGACCTTCTTAAAACAATTCCATATGTAAACTTAGAGCCCCCCACCCCAACGGCTTAGACTTTTAAGAATTACATTTCAATGGTTGCTTATGTTCGCAGGTATGGCCCTAAGTGATTCTGTTTTGACTTCCTACAAGCCTTTCAGGTTGGTGTTTACAAAACATTTGGTGTTGTCTGATTAGGATATAAAGGGCCTGTCTCCAAGAGGCCAGTTATACATTTTCTCTGCTTCTGTGCTGGAGCTGTCTCCCTGTTGCAACTTGTAATAAACCGGACACACATACACAGGTACAATTATTTTCTGCTCAAACAAAAAATACAGTAGTACCTACTAGTTAGCTCACTGACATAGTTAACTTGCCAACCAGATGAAAGGTCTATTACTTTTCCTGCCTCACTCCATTTTTCGATTGGATGGGTCTGAGTACAACATTCAGACATGGCGGAAGGAACGGTGGAGCAGGTTACGAATGGAGAGCAAGAAGAAGCATATTTTTACCGAGAAAGGATTAAATGTACACCAGAAGAGGAGACAAGGCTCGAAAGGCAACACTTTTGGAAAGTGATCGATGCGTTTAGATACTACAGGTACGGACTGTTTCAAAACAGCAGTAGTATTTGGTAGCTAGCTTATCCATAACAGTCATTTGACCCAGATGTTCTGGCTATCGTTAGTTCAAGTTTCTTTTATTAGTAGTATGTACGTGATACACATGGCATACAACGTCCAACGGTGCAGGTTCCTTTTCGACAATGCAACAACAATAAGAAATAATAAAATAAGAATAGGAACATGAAGTAACGTTAAATGACTCATGGAAGGAGGATCTGGGGGCAAGTGTTTAAATTGTGCAGTTGTGATATGTGTGTTCTGTTGATGGAGGAACGTTTTGTCCGAAGATTTTAGAAGAGGGATGACTGATTATGGGGTCTTCACTAGTTATCACAGCCATAAAGTCATGCCTAAACCCCGCCTATTTCTGCAATGTATCTTCTTAAAGGCCCAGTGCAGTCAATAATACTGTAGTTGGAATAATATTGTGAAAATTATGATAATGCCCGTTAGTGTAAGAGCTGTTTGAAAAGACCTCCTGAAAATTCAGCCTTTTTAGGCAACCTGGTCTCAGCGCATTTCGTATTATTCTGTATGTAAATCAGAGACACTCATCTTTGTATGATATGTTACGTTTTGTATGGTATCTATTAATTGGTGGATGTCCGTCAATTATTTCATATGATATGTTAAGAATTCCAATTATATGTTACGAATTTGCAAAACATATAATATGATATGTTACTAATTCTAGCTAAGTGAGTTAGCTAGCTCACTAACGTTAGCTAGGCTAGGGTTAAGTTTAGGAGTTAGGTTAAAGGGATACGGGAAGGGTTAGCTAAAAGGGTTAAGGTTAGCATTAGGGTAAGGGTTAGATAACATGCTAAGTAGTTGCAAAGTAGTAAGTAGTAGAAAAGTAGCAAATTAGCTAAAATGCTAAAGTTGTCCGTCATGCGATTCGAACTCGCAACCTTTGGATAGAAACAGCTGCATTGGACCTTTCAAATCTGATTTTAAACCTAACCTTAACCTCACTGCTAACCTTATGTGTAACCCTAACCTGAAGTTAAGACCATAAACCACATTTTTGTTTTCATTAATTTTTACGATAGTACATTTTTACTTTGTGGTAACTAGTGACAACCCTAATTATGTTGCATAGCTAGCTAGCTAAAATAGATTGTGTATTTATATCAGGGACCGTTTTGGCTCACTACATTGTTCCATACCATCGCTATTTAGCTAGTAGAAAATAACAAAGATAACTAAAAGAAGATGCAAGAGCTATAAAGTCCAGGCTGACAAAGACAAACATTTAATTTCAATACAGTTACTCTTGTTACTTACAAACAAGGACATCATACATGATTATGCCTAGTCTATACAACCATGTTCACCATAGTGGAAGATGCTTAGAAAAATTGAATAAAAGGGTTTTGTGAATCTTTGTGTCAAGTCATTTCAAGGAGTCTGCATATTGGGTTAGGCTTTATCAGAATTCAAAAAGGCTATAAAATATGGGTTTCTATTTTCCCGCATCTGTGTTTCTGGACCCCCATCTTCTCCTCCTCCTGTTCACCACGGCACCACCCTTCCCTTTTTCTTTGTCTAATTCACCTCCCCTTAATCTCAGGATGCATGTTCAGGAGCGGGTGAATCGAGCAGAACGTCAGTTCCGGAGTCTTCCGGAGCATCACCAGCTGCTGCTGCCCGGGGTCTTGCCCAACCTGGCCCGTATCCGCCGCAGTGTGGACCACAACCAGGAGGTGCTGCAGGCCATCGTGCTCAACTGTGTCCACATGTTTGAGAACATGGAGTACGGCGAAGAGGTGAGCTAAACGGTCGGAAAAGGTCACACTCATGCTTTCTCGCAGTCACACCAGGCACTACTTGTAGCGCTCAAACTACTGGAAATCAGTTATTTTTAATGGAAAGAGGAGACACAAGGAGTCATTTAGCGATTTAACCACTGGCAACTAGAGAGCTCGCTGCCAAAGTTGAGAAATCCAACTTTATGCAAAATGGTCAGTGATGCGAATGCGGAATAACCAATCGGAGGAGGGAGGGTCTTACTTGCTAGCTTTGACACTGTGCTGGATAGGCTAACAACCAATTGGGTGTTTTGCATGCTGTTCGGAAGATACACCCATGGGGGAAGATATCAGAGATTCCTTACTACAAGGCAGCCTCTGGTGTAACCACCCTGTTAGTCATCGTCTTCCTCTTTGTGGTAGGAGAGGTAGTATGCTGCATCTAGGTGTGCTGTGCAAGAAAAATACAGTAGTAGTAGGATGAGCTGAATGTTTTTCTATTCTAGTATACCACACCAGCACACACTTCAATAGTTATTGTAGTAATGTACATTTTAGAAGATAGATCTTAGATTCATTTGCTGCCATGATCCTTTCCCCATTGGATGAAGTTTGAGGAGTTGAAGTGAATCTGTCTTTCTGTCCAGGATGACCTGAGGAAGGTGGGTACGTCTTCCACGTTCGACATGGACAAGCTCAAGTCCACCATTAAGCAGTTTGTGCGTGACTGGAGTGAGGCGGGCCAGGCTGAGAGAGACTCCTGCTACCTGCCCCTCATCCAAGAGATCCAGAGACTCTTTCCCAGCAACAAGTGGTGAGCACACACACACACAGTCTTGAATTCTAACTCTGTTGTGTGATTTTATATTTTGAATTACGTGTCTATTCTGTCAGAGATGGTGTGGTTGTTTCTGTAGTGATGTGTCCAAGGTGAGCGTGCTGGTTCCAGGGGCAGGGCTTGGTCGCCTAGCGTGGGAAATCGCTCGTCTGGGTTACGCCTGTCAAGGCAACGAATGGAGTTTCTTCATGCTATTCTCCTCAAACTTCGTCCTCAACAGGTAACACTCACTTCAGCCCTAACCAGGGGTTTAAAGTAGATTTAATTTCTTCCCATTACGGGACCTCCTATGTGTGCACCTAAAAAATGTATGGGCATAACATGCCCAGCCCTGGACGTTCTGCCATCCTAGGCAAGAAAAAAATTTGCCACCCCCCTCCTATCCCGCTAAACTAGAATGGTGTACAGCAGGGGTCTGCAATAGGTTTGCCCTTGGGCCAATTTTCTTCTCAGCTAATAGTCGGCAGAACAACATAATAGCAGCCCAATTCATAAGCCTATTCATAACACATCTGGTTAGTAGGCTATATAATCAGTTCAATGCCAATAACATATCCTAATATTTTCAATCTGATTATACTGATAAAATCACCAATGTCTCTATTATTAAATTATTTTTAAAAATATTTCTTTGTGTGTTGATTGGGGAAAAACTGCTTGCAATCAAGATAAAATGTAGCTCTGAAAAAGTCTCAAAAGAAAAGTGGATAATGAAAATAGAAGTTTCAGGGAAGAGTGGACAGAGAAATAAGCATATTTCTCCAATGTCAAACCAGAGTCTTGTTTGTAACGCAACGGTTGCGGTTTGCAAATAATTAAATATTAGACATCGTTATTAATCTAAACATGGCACTTTCAAAAGTTACCTTTCCACCCAGACAGACCCTCGACCGACGCAGAAAAATGTAAGCTTCAACTGCTGGCTACTCATCCGTTGCTTAACCCAACAACAGAAGTGCTTCCCTAAAAGTTGCCTGGGTTTAACATATTCTCTTTTCAGAAAATGAAAAGCTAAATTAACAGGGACAGAATAGCAAAGCCCATTTTTTTGTCTCCTCCAATATTGAAGGCTGCAGCTCAGCTTCAGAATGTCATAGAAACTAATCAGTATATTCCCATATGCATCAGTCACGTCTTTTGTGGGCATTTTAAAGCTTGTTTCTAGCATAAGGCATCACAGAGTTAAGCATTGTTATAGAATGCTTCATATTATCTGGATACGTTTTATTTATTTATTTCAAAATATAAAGCTTTAACAAAGGGTACGGCATACCCTCACTCAATTTGAGCCCTTGTTTTAACCAAACACACCAAGCCCTTCCCAGACACTGAGGTATTTAAGGAGTGCACGGTGACAGTATTGGAGGATTTGGCTATACCGACAAATCTATGGATAGCATAATTGTGTCTGTCAAACAGGTAGGCCTACCTCTTTTTTTATATAGGAAGAAATAGCCTCCAACAAAGCCCTCTTGTTGTTAGTGAAGTCAAATTAAAATGAAGAATTACTTTCAGCACCATTTGCTGTCCACCTCTGTTTAGATTATGCCACAGCCACACCAAAGCTGATGTTTGCCCGCTAGCCTTTTTAGTTGACTTTCTCCTGCACTCTCTCTCCTCATGAATAAGTGAATGATTGAAAAAGTGTCTGTCTCATGACATTGTAATACATTTGGTCTCCAGGCTATGCGGTTACAGAAAAACCACATAGGCTACTACTCTTTCTACCGTAGGCTACATCATTTATGTTAAATGAATTTGTTGGAGCGTGGTAGAGTGCAGCGTCTTTCCAACAGCACGCTGGGCATGGATAAGCTAAATATTTTGCACCCCTGCCTTTGGCAAAGTGGGCTCTGCTTATAGCCCACATACCACTGGGTGAGAGAAGTTATTGTTTTTGGGCAGAATAATGTGAGGTGTTGTGTTGTTGGAGGTGCGTCTTGGTCAGTTTAAGTCGGGAAATGCTGCCCTCATCAAACTGCCGCTCTAGGCTGCTGCCTAATCCTGCCTAATGGGCGAGCCGCCCGTGGGGCCTAATCATAGAATTATATTTAGCATTCCTATTCATTCAATAGCATTTTTTTGTGAGCCATAATTTTTTTTCATTTCATTTTTATTATGGAATAAACACAACCAGTCATGACGTTTTCATCTGATTTTCAAACAATGACTTCAAAGGGCTCTTTTACTAGGCTACCCGCGCACGTTCATCCACTCGCAACATATTTCCAGCCTCCAAACAGTGGTGAATGGAAAGAGACATCCGTTACACAAAACACCAAAAAGTGTAATGACATTTGGTGATTGTCATTAGGCCAGAATTAATTCCTCCACTGCTGTCCGTGCGAGTCTCTGTCGGCCACTCATCTCTGCCTTGGCAAAATGTCAGTGTTCTTCTCGAACCACATCGTATTTTGGAGCGTAAGCTATAGGCCTACCACCTGTTTTCAAGTCAATTTTTCATGCCTCTAACATACGGTAATGATAAATAAGGGTGTAATACAGTTTTCTAGACATTTTGTTTTCATTATTGCGTACCCCCACTATTTATTTTGCCGGGACACCGTACCGGACGGTACCGCCTTACTTTCAACCCTGGCCCTAACTCAAGCCTTGCATATGATGCAATAATTCAGGCCTTGCATATGTTGCACTGTGTGTCATTTAATGACAGAGTATTAAACATGTTGAAATGTATGTGTCTGGTGTGTTTATGTGCCTGAGAACTTGGGCCAAATCAATTGCCTAGCATATCAAATTAGCCCAATGCAATCATCTTTGTTGGTGATCTTTTTCTCACACTACTGTTGTTCAGCTTATCTTACCTTGGCTCTGTTCTTCCTGAGGTGTGAAAAGGTCAACTCCATGACCCTGTACCCCTGGATCCACCAGTTCAGCAACAACAAGAGGTCATCTGACCAGACGCGGCCAATCAGCTTCCCAGACGTCAACCCCCAGAGCCTGCCTCCAAACTCGGACTTCTCCATGGTGGCAGGGGACTTCCAGGAGGTCTACACAGAGCCTAGTGAGTGGTGAGCCTCACACAGGCTGTCTGAAAGATCAACAAGTGCAATGAGTGATCAGGGCCTGTATTCACAAAGCGTCTCAGAGTAGGAGTGCTGATCTAGAATCAGGTCCCACCTTGTCTTATTCATTATGGTCTAAAAGGCTAAACTGATCCTAGATCAGCACTCCTGTTCTTAGACACGGGTTCTTCTCTCTCTGTGAGTGACATGTTGTTATGTGAATTGGCCACATTGAACAGTCAATAGTGAAAGTGAGCAATCTGTCCTAGACACAGATTATTTGTTATTACCTGTGTTGGTTGGTATTAGCAATAAGGTGAGACAGGTTAAACGAGTATCATTGTGGTCTTTCCTCTCAGACACCTGGGACTGTGTGGCTACCTGCTTCTTCATCGACACAGCGCACAACGTCATCGACTACGTAGAGACCATCTGGAACATTCTCAAACCTGGAGGCGTGTGGATCAATCTTGGTGAGCGACGATATGTTCAACAAACCTCCTTACTGACCAGTGAAAGAGGTTCTCTTCTACGCATTTTTGGTGTAGTTGCTGTTTTAACTTACGGTTAGTGTGTGATATACTGTATGTCAGTGGCGGTCGGTGCCGTATAAGATGAGGGAGGACGTTTTTTTAATGAGCATGGCCTTATTTCTATTACAGCATATTGAATGACTGTCATTAATAGTCCATTCACCCAGTTCAATGTAACATCGATAGGTTTAGGCTACTACATGATACTCGCTATACCCGTAAATTGTCCCTATACCCATCATGAGGTTGCTACAACCTAGCCTACGACTGAAAGTTTACAACGTAGGTGCACACGTCGACAGAAAAATTTGAGGAATAAAGGTGACAGTGACAAATGTAATACTGCCTTGCAAACTCTTTCCTGCATCTAGCTGATCTAGGATGTAATCATTAGTCCAACAGTTGCAAACAATACTTTCTATTGGACAAATTCAGGTATGTTTATCCCTGTTTTGTTCCGTTTGCTTCCGTTTAAGAAATGTTTTTCAATGGAATTGGCAGAATGAATACACCCCTGATCACACGCAAACAGTTCACTTTCATAGCAGCCACATATACTGAACAAAAATATAAACGTAACCTCCAATGTTGTTTTAGAGAATTTGGCAGTACGTCCAGCCGGCCTTACAACTGCAGACCATGTGTAACCACGCCATCCCAATACCTCCACATCTGGCTTAATCACCTGCAGGATCGGGGGGAGGGGGCAGAGGAGTATAAAGCCCCTTTGTGGGGAAAAGCTCATTCTGATTGGCTGGGCCTGGCTCCCCAGTGGGTGGGCCTGGCTCCCAAGTGGGTGGGCCTATGCCTTCCCAGGCCCACCCGTGGCTGCACCCCTGCCCATTCATGTGAAATCTATAGATTAGGGACTAATTCATTTATTTCAATTGACTGATTTACTTATATGAACTGTAACTCAGTAAAATCTTTGAAATTGTTGCATGTTGCATTTATATTTTTGTTCAGTACACAAACAGCATAATAATTTGCTTGTTGTATAATTCCTTCTCGCATCTACGCGCTCTCCTCCTCTCACCTTTTCCCTTCGCTTGTGGACTTCAGTGCAGAAAACAACAAGGCGAGAAAAACCTTTCCAAGCCAAACCTTCATACCATAACCGCTACACAAAGTCTACATCTTTGTCACCATATTAGCTAATGTCATAGACAACATACAGTGGGGAGAACAAGTATTTGATACACTGACGATTTTGCAGGTTTTACTACTTACAAAGCATTTAGAGGTCTGTCATTTTTATCATAGGTACACTTCAACTGTGAGAGACAGAATCCAAAAATCCAGAAAATCACATTGTATGATTTGTAAGTAATTAATTTGCATTTTATTGCATGACATAAGTATTTGATACATCAGAAAAGCAGAACTTAATATTTGGTACAGAAACCTTTGTTTGCAATTACAGAGATCATACGTTTCCTGTAGGTCTTGACCAGGTTTGCACACACTGCAGCAGGGATTTTGGCCCACTCCTCCATACAGACCTTCTCCAGATCCTTCAGGTTTCGGGGCTGTTGCTGGCCAATACGGACTTTCAGCTCCCTCCAAAGATTTTCTATTGGGTTCAGGTCTGGAGACTGGCTAGGCCACTCCAGGACCTTGAGATGCTTCTTACGGAGCCACTCCTTAGTTGCCCTGGCTGTGTGTTTCGGGTCGTTGTCATGCTGGAAGACCCAGCCACGACCCATCTTCAATGCTCTTACTGAGGGAAGGAGGTTGTTGGCCAAGATCTCGCGATACATGGCCCAAACCATCCTCCCCTCAATACGGTGCAGTCGTCCTGTCCCCTTTGCAGAAAAGCATCCCCAAAGAATGATGTTTTCACCTCCATGCTTCACGGTTGGGATGTTGTTCTTGGGGTTGTACTCATCCTTCTTCTTCCTCCAAACACGGCGAGTGGAGTTTAGACCAAAAAGCTCTATTTTTGTCTCATCAGACCACATGACCTTCTCCCATTCCTCCTCTGGATCATACAGATGGTCATTGGCAAACTTCAGACGGGCCTGGACATGCGCTGGCTTGAGCAGGGGGACCTTGCGTGCGCTGCAGGATTTTAATCCATGACGGCGTAGTGTGTTACTAATGGTTTTCTTTGAGACTGTGGTCCCAGCTCTCTTCAGATCATTGACCAGGTCCTGCCGTGTAGTTCTGGGCTGATCCCTCACCTTCCTCATGATCATTGATGCCCCACGAGGTGAGATCTTGCATGGAGCCCCAGACCGAGGGTGATTGACCGTCATCTTGAACTTCTTCCATTTTCTAATAATTGCACCAACAGTTGTTGCCTTCTCACCAAGCTGCTTGCCTATTCTCCTGTAGCCCATCCCAGCCTTGTGCAGGTCTACAATGTTATCCTTGATGTCCTTACACAGCTCTCTGGTCTTGGCCATTGTGGAGAGGTTGGAGTCTGTTTGATTGAGTGTGTGGACAGGTGTCTTTTATACAGGTAACGAGTTCAAACAGGTGCAGTTAATACAGGTAATGTGGAGAACAGGAGGGCTTCTTAAAGAAAAACTAACAGGTCTGTGAGAGCCGGAATTCTTACTGGTTGGTAGGTGATCAAATACTTATGTCATGCAATAAAATGCAAATGAATTACTTAAAAATCATACAATGTGATTTTCTGGATTTTTGTTTTAGATTCCGTCTCTCACAGTTGAAGTGTACCTATGATAAAAATTACAGACCTCTACATGCTTTGTAAGTAGGAAAACCTGCAAAATCGGCAGTGTATCAAATACTTGTTCTCCCCACTGTAGCTAGCTACTAGAATTAACTTGTTAATAAACCGCTACAATCATGTAGTACAGTGTACAGCAAGCAGTTTAGCAGTTACACCGGGTGTTTGAGTAGGCTAAACTAATTAGCTGCATTCATTAGCTAGGTAAGTGAAAGTGAAACAAATACAATGAAATATAGCTAACTCTCTCTATTGCTTCTCCTTCATTTTTGAAAAAATGAATTTGTTTCCAAACTGTTCAACTATTGTATTTCTCTCTCTTTGAGTCAACTACACACCACATTTTATGCACTACAGTGCTAGCTAGCTGTAGCTTATTCTTTCAGTACTAGATTAATTATCTGATCCTTTGATTGGGTCGACAACGGCAGTTCATACTGCAAGAGCTCTGATAGGTTGGAGGACGTCCTCTGGAAGTTTTCATAATTACTGTGTAAGTCTATGGAAGGGGGTGAGAACCATGAGCCTCCTAGATTTTGTATTGAAGTCAATTTATCCAGAGGAGGACGGAAACTACCCCAGAGAGTGCTTTTGAGGATACTGTAGACCATTGCAAAGCAGTGTTTTAATCAATTATTTGGTGACGTGAATATATTTAGTATAGTTTTTCCTAAAAAGGATACCTTTTTTTATTGTTTCACTATTTTTTTTTTTTTAAATACACTGAGGATGGTCCACCCATTCCTCCTCTGAGGAGCATGCACTGCTGTATGTATACTTTTACCAAAGCTGCAATTCCTCCCTTGCCTATAGGCCCACTGCTGTACCACTTTGAGAACATGGCCAATGAGCTCTCCATCGAGCTCAGCTACGAGGACGTCAGGGAGGCCATTTTAAAATATGGATTCCATTTGGAGGTAAAGTCGTTTTTTTAGTTAAAAAAATATATAAAACAGGTGTACAGATTGGAGGAATAAGATGAACTACTACTTCAGTTTACAGTAAAGAAAAGTATAAAACATTGTTTTCAGTTAATGTTGTTAATGTTGTTTGGCCTAAAACACCCTGTCTTTCACTGCAGGTGGAGAGAGAGTCTGTACCCACTACATACACGGAGAATGATCAGTCCATGCTGAAGTACCTGTACGACTGTGTTTTCTTTGTGGCAAGGAAACCTGACCATCTGTATGCCAACGGTTTCCAGGTGGTCCATGAGAACAGACTGGAAGCGTCGCCACGGCGAGAGAGCTGCGACAGTCTGACGTGACATCGTCTGTCATGACATAGCAGAGCAACAACCGAAAAAACGCGATTGGCCACTGCCGAGAGCATAAAAAAAAAGAGTAAGATGACAGAAACACAAGTCAATGGACAGGTTTGCTTTCATGTTTCTTCTTCTTTATATTATCTAATCGCCAGAGCTGCCCAATCACCTTCCTTCCCCCCTGAGCCTTTGAGATTGAGACGGATGCCTATTATGAACTCAAGTGACTAAATCTTTCAGCCCAGGACTGTTTGTCTTCAGTTAAAGAGGCAAGGTGACGCCTCTATGGTGACCTGATGTAGTTGCATGCTTGTCAGAGACCCGCCTCTGTCTTCCCAATATATTTATTTTGTAAAATAGTTACCAACTCTGGCTATTTATAGTATTTTTTTTGTTCATCACTTAAAGTCAGTTGCTGAAGTGGCTGGAGTTGGTAATACTGAGGGTAGGACAAAGTTATTTTAACCTTTATTATATGATTGGACACAGATTGAGTTTCAGCATTACAACCTGGATCTAGTTACTGTCTCACTTAACAATAAAGAAAAACACAATTCTTTAAAAAAAAGAAACATGTTTCATTGACAGGGGGATTGTCGAATTTAGTGTCTTTAGGGTCGTTCCATGAAAAGTGCCTTTGATATTAACTATTAATTGTGCACCAATATAGAATTTTAAAAGCCTGATATATAAATGAAGTGCCCTTTTAATATAGACCACATGGAGAATTCAATAAATCAGATTTATTTTATGAATAAAGACTTGCTCAAGTGCCAAAAATCCCTCTGTGAAAACTGTGACTTCTAGGATGATTTTAACCCACTTAACCAACATTTCTCCAAGCTTTCACCATCATTGTAAAGCCCTAGTTATTTTGTTGCTTTGACAGTCATTTCTGAAGACTGTAATTTATTTAATGTGATTAGTGATTCATTTACGTCTGTCCCTCATTTCAAGGTCACGTAAACTGAACTCTCATTTTCTGGTGTTTTGAGGAGAAAAACTGAGCGGGTCGAACATAACACGTTAACCCATAGATCGACAGGTTAGAAATAATTTAACAATAAAACATTTTTTGTGAAACTTGCATTCACACAACAAGCTTCCATTCCCCCTGTCAAAAGGGGATTTATGGCCAATGTTTAAGATTAAATCATTGTTTACTTTATTTATTTGGCATTTACTAGTCATTTTTTTTATTTGACCTTGAGATGGGAAAGCTTGTTTTTTAGGAAGTTGAATTTGCTCTTTATGACAGAATGTTCAAATTAGGTGAAATCAAGTTATTTGTTATTTTTTTTTACACCTCTCAAAGGTAGAACTGGTGGAAGGACCCTTTTATCAAGAGGGAGATCTATTTTGAAAGTATGAATCTCATATTCCCTCTGTTTGCAGTTATTCACTGAAATAATTTGGAGCATTATGCCTAGATATGATCAATGTTATAATGTATGCAACAACTCCCCTTTTGTAAATTACTGTCTGCATACAGCCAGGTACATCTGAGAGTCACAGTTGGTTACAGAGGATACAGACATCAGTGATGAATCCTTATCATATCAATACAATTTGACACAGCATATGAAAGGGAGATCCAGTGCACACATGAAATGATTTACTGACAATGATTGCCCTACCTAATGGAATGAATGCCCAATCTGGCTATCTCAATAACTCTTTCTCAAGCAACCGACAGGTGGCGCTGTTGGTGGAGAACATTATTGATAGTGGTGGGCGGGAATAGAGGACAGATACATCCTCTCATTAGACAGACCGCGTGTGTGTAGAATTTACAGTAACTTGTGCTGAAATATTTTGACAAATTGTACTCATGACGAAAAGGTGAGCTGAAGATGTTTTGTTCCACGACGCGCCTTTTAAAAGATCATGTTTTCGTCCACTTTACAAAGAAACGTGCACGAGAGGACACCATCACTAGATACGATCCTCCAAAGATGGTAAGTACTGCTTCTTAGATAGTGTATACTGGAACACTAGTATACTTTGAGGAAAATTTGACTTACTATGACTGATGTGTGGTTGTCCCAACTAACTATCTTAAGATGAATGCACTAACTGTAAGTCGCTCTGGATAAGAGCATCTGCTAAATGACAAAAAATATGTAGTGTATTAAACGTTTTATTTTATTTGTTATAATTTTTTTTATTGCAGAGAACACCAGTATACATACAAGAAGTATACAAACAGACAATGACAACATATAGTGCATTCAGAAAGTATTCAGACCCCTCGACCTTTTCCACATTCTGTTAAGTTACAGCCTTATTCTAAAATTGATTAAATATATTTTTTTACTCATCAATCTACACACTATAACATAATGACAAAGTGAAAACAGGTTTTTAGAAATGTTTGTATTCAGACCCTTTGCTATGAGACTTGAAATTGAGCTCAGGTGAATCCTGCTTCCATTTATCATCCTTGAGATGTTTCTACAACTTGATTGGAGTCCACCTGTGGTAAATGCAATTGATTGGACATTATTTGGAAAGGCACACAACTGTCTATATAAGGTCCCAGTTGACAGTGCATGTCAGAGCAAAAACCAATCAATGAAGTCGAAGGAATTGTCCTTTGAGCTCCGAGACAGGATTGTGTCGAGGCACATATCTGGGGAAGGGTACTAAAAACATTCTGCAGCATTGAAGGTCCCCAAGAACACAGTGGCCTCCATCATTCTTAAATGGAAGAAGTTTGGAACCACCAAGACTTTTCCTAGAGCTGGCCGCTCGGCCAAACTGAGCAATCAGGGGAGAAGGGCCTTGGTCAGGGAGGTGACCAAGAACCCAATGGTCACTCTGACAGAGCTCCAGAGTTCTTCTGTGGAGATGGGAGAACCTTCCAGAAAGACAACCATCTCTCCAGCACTCCACCGATCAGGCCTTTATGGTAGAGTGGCCAGACGGAAGCCACTCCTCAGGAAAAGGCACATGACAGCCTTCTTGGAGTTTGCCATAGGCACCTAAAGGACTCTCAGACCATGAGAAACAAGATTCTCTGGTCTGACGAAACCAAGATTGAACTCTTTGGCCTGAATGCCAAGCGTCACATCTGGAGGAAACCTGGCACCATCCCTACGGTGAAGCATGGTGGTGGCAGCATCATGCTGTGGGGATGTTTTTCAGCGGCAGGGACTGGGAGACTAGTCAGGATTTAGGGAAAGATGAATGAAGCAAATTAAAGAAAGATCCTTGATGATAATCTGCTCTAGAGCGCTCTGGACCTCAGACGGGCGAAGGTTCACCTTCCAACAGGACAACGTCCCTAAGCACACAGCCAAGACAACGCAGGAGTGGCTTCGGGACAAGTCTCTGAATGTCCTTGAGTGGCCCAGCCAGAGCCCGGACTTGAACCCGATTGAACATCTCTGGAGAGACCTGAAAATAGCTGTGCAGCGACGCTCTCCATCCAACCTGACAAAGTTTGAGAGGACCTGCAGAGAAGAATGGGAGAAACTCCCCAAATACAGGTGTGCCAAGCTCCAATAAGACTTGAGGCTGTAATCGCTGGCAAAGGTGCTTCAACAAAGTAATAATATAATAATAATAATATGCCATTTAGCAGACGCTTTTATCCAAAGCGACTTACAGTCATGTGTGCATACATTTGTACGTATGGGTGGTCCCGGGGATCGAACCCACTACCCTGGGGTTACAAGCGCCATGCTCTACCAATTGAGTACTGAGTAAAGGGTCTGAATACTTATGTAAATGTAATATTTCAGTTTTAATTTTGTATAAATTTGCCAAAATGTCTAAACTTGTTTTTGCTTTGTCATTATGAGGTATTGTGTGTAGATTGATGAGATGTATTTATTTTTTAATCAATTTTAGAATATGGCTGTAACGTAACAAAATGTGGAAAAAGTCAAGGGGACTGAATACTTTCCGAATGTACTGTATGTATGACAGTCCTCAAGGAGGAAGGCTGATTTCAGATCCGTTAATGAAAGCGCGCCCTCCGATGAAGTAAGCCACTTTCCTCTCTTTTCGTGCTTTTTCCACAGCTGGCCACAGTTTCTCTCTCCTTTCTCTGTCTGCTTTCGAGAGGTAGATCACTTTGGAAGGTAGATCTCTTTGTTGCTTTCCAAGTGGCATCCCTGTAGATCCGTTATGTGAACTGGAGAATGACACCTCTGGGCTTGGAGTCATTTTGCCTTCTCGTGCCGAGGCGATGTACAGTGTCGACAACATCTGCTAGCTTAGCCATCTCCTCAGGTAGGACAGGTTGGCAGACTTTGATGGTCTCTTGCCGTAAGTTCTCCCCATCTGCCTCGGGAACTCCATACAGTCACAAACTCCAACGTTTGGAGTAGCTTTCGAGTTCCGTAATTCTTCTTTGGCAGAAGTCCATCTTTTTCAACACGCTTTTTGATGTGGGCGACCTTCTTCTTGACGTCCTTAAAGTCGACCGTTTTTTCAAGCCCTCGATTTTCATTGCGTTGTCGCCTCCCATTTTCTCTATGGCATCGGACCTTGTATTGATGGGCCTGGAGTGGCAATAACATCATTATTGGCAGTGGCATCAGAGCCCAGTTCAAACATGCCTTTCTTGGAAGCTGGAGGTTTGCTTGGGGTTATAGGCAAAGAAGGAAAATCCTTGTCTGACACCGTTAAGTGTCAAAGTCTGTCAGGCCAGCATAGTTGTGGCAGTTGTCAATCAAAGCGTTTGCCTCCTGCATAACGACATTGGATTAAGCCTGACCATTGCTAGCTGAAGAGGTAGTCATAAGATTTATCTTTCTATCAGTGCGCTGACATTTTGAAAAATAAAATCAATGACCTGGTGTTTTTAGCTAAATATTAATTTGGTAGTTCAAAATAAGAAACTTTTCACCATCTTTCAAAAGTTGGTATGCAGAGCTAGGTATCTTGGAGCCCCTCCTGTCGTGTATTAAACTGCACAGGGTTGAAATCAACATCCATTGAGCACAATACAAGATGCCGCTAGTTCTTCCTTTTAAATGTAGACTAAAGTCGTCCGCATGCTTCCCAGCTAGTTCTGTAAAGTTTGTGCATATATTATGACGACATTTTGTGACGTTTTTGTTCTCTTTCGACGTCGGTGAGGGTTTTTTCAGCTATTCAGGCACACATTTTTCTGGAGGCATGCCGAAGTTTGGAGCCGAATTCTATGCCCCTTCGTCAGTTATTGGTCAACAGTAGGGATTCTTCAATAGTATTTGTCATTCAACTAGAGACAACTTGTTTTCATGCAAAACATTTCATTGAAAAATACTGCACCAAACATCTTAGATGTAATATTGCGTGATTAAAGATCTCTTCGGCATATATGTCAAAAATAATGACAGATTTCTTGAGTTATCTTAGATTAATTTGGACTATTTTAGCTACGGCTTCTCAAAATGGACAAACAGTACTATTGCCGCTTTTGTCTAGTTTTTCAAGCGATGGTCTTTTAAGGGAGTATGCGAACACACTCATTCGGTTCGCTAGGCGCCAGCCGAACTGATGCATGCGGACACCTTTAGCCATATGACCACAGTTTCTAAACCCAGAGGTGCAACATCGCGAGACTTCCGGGACGCTTGCGATACAGACTGGGCCGGGGTTTGAGAAGTCAATGAGAGAAGTGAAAAATTCTTCCTTAGTAGTTAATTTTCTCGAAATCGAAAGACAACCTAGATTCGAGAC